GGAGAGGGAGGGAGAGGGAGAGGGAGGGAGAGGGAGGAAGAGAGAGGGGGAGGGAGGGAGGGAAGGAGGGAGAAAAGGGGATGGGAGAATGAGAGAGAAAAAGAAGAGTAGGGAGAGTGGAAAGTAGAATCATCTACCAGCCTTTCTTCCTGGCAAAACGCTTGTTAAGGAGGGCAAGTACCTTAGGAACGTTGAACTGGACATATTCGAGGTCAAGCTCGTCTTGGTTGTCCTTTTGCATCTCGAGAAGGTCGTCTAGCTTGAGATCGAGCTCGAGAAGACCACGGTTGCGACCTGTATGTCAAGAGTCAGTAAGACGTACATGGTAGTATCAAGGAGAAGGGAAAGATGAAGAGAGAGAAGAGGAGAGAGAGAGAGGAGGGGGTAGGCTAGAAAGAAGAGAGAGAAAAAAGAAAAAGAAAAAAGAGAGGAAACCTCACCCTTGTAATGTAGAGAAATGACAAAAGTCCCGGGGAGTGGACTGGTGAAGTTGAAATAGATATTGGCCCTCCGGTTATCGGGCACATTGCTTTTCTGGATGACGCCCTCCTTCTCAAGCTGTTGGTGGGTGAACTTGTACGGGCCCAGCACCTGCTGCTTCTGCTGCTTACGCTTGGTGCCCTCGGACTGCGAGCGGACATTGTGCAGGTAGCTCTTGTACGTCTCGAGCTGGCCGACGAGGTAGGTGTTGTGGTCGCGGATCGTCTTGTAGACCTCGTTGAGCTTGACCGTCTCGACCAGGACGCCGTCCTTGAGCGAGCCCAGGTGCTGCAGCTCCTGCTCCACCTCGTCGCGCAGGAGGCCGAATTGATCGTTCTTATCGATGACGCCCAGCTCCTGCAGCTGGGAGAGGAGCTCCATGGCCCTGATGCCCTTGCGCACCATGACGGCGTCGTTGCGCGACGTCGCGGCCGCATCGGCCACGCGTTCCAGCCGGAGCGGTCGACGGGCCACGGGGCTGCCCGCCGATATCGAACGCATGATCTGCACAAATATCGACTTGGCCTCCATAAAATAGACCTCCTCCTGCGTAATGTCCAGGGCGGACGTCAGGTCGTCAATGGCCGTCTCCCACCGGCTAAACAGAGGCAGGTTGATGACCCTGTTCTCCTTGCGGGGGACCTGGGGCGGAGCGGCCCCCAGCTCCGACATGATGGTGGCCAGGTGCGAGTTCTCATCCTTGCATATCTCGCCCTGATGCTTCTCAATCAGGCCGTGCATGGCGTAGATCTCGTTGAGCGTGATGTCGAGCTCGAGATCCTTCTTGGAGAGGGCCACGTAGTTGTCCATCTCGAGGCTCTCGTAAAAGTCCTGCACCTCGCAGAGGTCGAGCAGGAAGCGGTTGAGGCGGTCCTTGTTGGACTGGATAAACGGCTGCAGCTTGGCCATGTACGGCTCCTTGGCGTACGACGGCTTGTTGGCCAGGTTCTGCAACATCTTGGCAATGTACGTCAAGGTGCGACGCGGCTTCTCGGCGGGGACGCCATCGATGAGCATGTACGACTTTGGCGTGACAATGGCCGGGTTGATGAAGCGGAGGAAGAAGAAACCACCAATCAGGGTGCAGATGGCCTGGTCGTTGGCGTCTGGGTACTTGCGCTTGGTCAGGCTCCTGATCTGCTTACAGATCCACCTGATACCGTAGGGCGCCTCGTCGAGTCCCTCGATGATGGTGTTGAGGAAGCCGTTGGCGATCTCGGTCAGCATCGTCAGGCGCGGCTCGATAATGGCCTGGACCTGAGGGTTCTCTGCCGCCTGCTCGGCCGTGATGCCCTTGGGCAGGTTGGGCGGGGCCTTGCCCGTGTCCTCCTCAATCTGCTCCACCATGCGCTGGTAGACCTTGAGAGGATTGATCTCGAGGTCCAGGTCGCGCAGCTGGATCAGGCTGTCGATACGCTCGGCCAGGACGGTCTTGAGGAAGCTCTGTCCGGGACCTCGGCGCGTGTACGTCGTCATCATGCGCGACACGGGCGTGTTGGCCCGCAGCAGCGATGAGTAGTCGGTCGTGTTGTCAAACTGGTAGGTGAGGACCGACTGGAACATGGTCAGGAGCAGGTGCTCCTCTCGGCTCTCGTACTGGTTTCCGTAGATAGTGAACATGACCGTCTGGAGGAGCGAGTCGATCTCGGCCATGGACACGAGCCTGCAAAGGTGAGCGATGTGCCTCGGCTCGGACTGGAGGAGGAACATGAGGTTTCCGTATTTCTGCGTCTTGTCGTCGTTGGGGAAGAAGCCCTCTTGCATGTCGGTAGCATCCTCGAGATGGCTAGCCACCTCGTTTTGCTCCTCCAGGGCCATACGGTTCTGGATCAGCAGGGCGATGCGGGAGTCGAGGTAGCGGACATCCTTTTCGAGGACGAAGTTCTTCTTGGACTGGGACGAGATGCTAGACTTGAGATCGCGAAGGGTTTTCTGGGCTGTACATGAAGGAAGCCAAATGTCAGTGATGGGGGAGGGGGAGAGAGACGATGGTGGTGATGGCTGATGAAGATGCGAGCAGTGCGCAGAACATACCTTTGGCTAGCTCATCTTCAATCTGGAGCTCTCCCTCATTTGCCGACATGGACATGTAGAGAGCAGACATGGAGTACCGCTTAGACTGGCGCACCGAGCGCGAGCCATCGTAGGAAGACGACATTGTGTTTTGGCGCGACAGATGGTTCCCTGACGACGAAGACCCCAGGGAATCTCGCGAGTGGTTTTGAAGCTTGACCGACATTGCGGATTGAGCCATCCGGGGCACCACGGCGGTCCCTTTTTTAGGGTCGCCGGGTTGCTGCTATATGGTGTTTGTGTATGGTGTGAATGGTGTTGGTGTTCAGGTTACTCTTTCACACAAATGAGTCCCTCTCTCAGTCGGGGGGGCGGGGAAGGGGGGGGGGGGGGGG